AGCTAGTTCTGCAGAATTGGGGCAAGGGAAGTCAGAGAAGGTAATTGTACCCCCTAGCAAGCGAAGAGTTCAGATAATCTCAAAGTAACTTCAACAGCATCTGTTGGCTACAATATTTTCTACAAGCGACTCTTACATCCAGGGAGGGATGGGATGTCTTGTTAGAAGGCGGGTAGAGCTAGTAGGTGAAGGTCAATGTTTTCTCATTGTCTGGGGATCCTTATCTGGGTCTGTGACTTCTCCTCCTCCACAGGTCTCCCACTTGGAGGAGGAGGTAAGCCTCTGCACTGTCTACCCTGTTACAGTGCCTGCCACACTCGCACATGATTTTTTTTCAGTGAATAAGACAACTAGTGAATAAAACATACACACAAAGTCCTGGAAGATGCTCAGTAATGTAAAGTCACAAAAGGTCCCATTGACACAGAAATGCCTCATTTTGGAACATATCCTTCAAAAAAATTGTTTCACATAAAGTGACACATATGTGTGTGTCTATATATATATATATATATATATATATATATATATATAAATCCAAAATAGTACAGTTTTTAATTGTGGTGAAATACACAAAGCTACTAACAGTGGGGAATGGCTAAGCAATTAAGAGTTATTGAAATAATGGAAAGCTATTTGTCTAAACTCTGGCAAATATATAGAATATATTGAAGATACATTTTTAATTTGAAATAAATATTTAGAAGGAATATGCAAAGGTATATTTATTAGGGAGTGAAAATTAAATAAAAATTTGGGAAGAAAATGTTTAGAGATGGTTGTGCTTTTTCACTATTACGTATTTAAGATTTTTAAAATTGATTTGCTTTTCCTGCAAGTGAAAGAAATGAAATGAAGCACTCAGCCCCATTTCTAGATGGGAAGCACTCTGTGGGTTCACCCATCAGAAGTGGGGTCTGTCTGCTTGTGCTGTGATGTCCCCGCAAAGCTGTAGAAGGGACCACACTGGCAGAAGATGAGTGACCGAGGAGTGTGATGATATCCTAATTTTGTGTTAGATTCATGGCAACTAATTCTTTAATGAATTGGCTGCTATCAAGCAGGTCCTTTGCCCAGGGATCTTTCAAGGAGGGTGACATTTAGATGTATTCTCTGTAACTGACAAGCCATCCCAGCATGTTGACCATGAGTTTATATTTTTGAAAAATAAATAAAAAGTTAACATTTTGAACTAAGCTACCTCAATCAAAGTGTAGCTAACCTACAGCCAGCAATAATAATAATTGACAATAGTCATCATTTCACCTTAGTTTTACATCGTACTCTACTGTTCTGAAGGGACTTTATCATAAAACAAGCAAGAGTATTTCCAAATGTACAAAGTTTGTGTGAAAGCACAAGCAATGTATTGTTGTATTGCTATCATTTCCACCTGAGCCTTATAAGCCCCCTGTGAGGTAGGGGGGCACATCTTATTCTGGTTTCACAGATGAGAGAGAAACACGAGAGGAGTATTTCAAGAGTGTGATAGTGCAGGCGACATGCATTTTGGTAATACATCGAGGGTCCCTGATAAGAGTAGGGGGTCAGGGGATCAAAGATTTTTTTTTTTAATTTATTTATTTATGCATACAAGAACTGGGTACAGGCCAGAGGTGCAGGGGGTGAGAGGATTCACCAGAGACAGCGTGGGAAGCAGAACAGGCAGACTGACTGAAATACACTGCTGAGGGGAGCAGCGGGTGAGACAGGAGAGGTCTGCCCAGCCATGTGGGTTGCTCCCGGACCGGCCGGGGATGAACTCATGCTGCAGAGGCTGTGGATAGCTTCATAGTTCTTTGCTTAACCCCTTGCACTACCAGGGAGGCCCTTGATCAAAGATTTTTAAAGAAGAGGCAGGAATTAGTGGGTGAATGCAGGGTGGCTCTTTCCAGGCAAATAGATTAGCACAGTGTGTGTCTGAAAAAAAGAGCAGTAGTGGACAGTGGCTATCTGTTAGTTGGGGTAAGAATGGAAATGCATCCAGGATTTCCTACTGGACAGCCCTCAGCTCTCCTGCAGATGGCCTAGAGTGGGAGTTCCTCATCCTCGGGCCCTCCCTTTCTCAGAGCAGATAGAAAGCCCCCACTTCTCCCTTCCCTCCTGTGTCTCTGTGTGAAACATGAGGGCCTGAGGAAGACAACCTTTCTGTGAAAATGCCAACTAGAGGAGAAAGGAAGAGAAATCAAAAATGATTGAGTCCCAAGATGGTCTGGGATTGAGGGTTTGTTGTGCATCTAAATCCTCCAAGTTTCACTCCGGGGCCTCCCTCACGACGCCTCTGAAGTCACTCGAGATAACCCTTCCCCGCTGAGAGACAGACTAGGGGCATCCCTGCCACTAAAACTCACTTCTATTTGTCACTCAGAGGCCCTTTTAGGGAGAATTTCTCCCTGTAGGAGAAATCCCTCTGAAATCAAGTCCCTTAACCTTCCGCTCTGAAGACGTGGCACACATGTGACACGCGCGCTGGAAATGATGTTATGTCCATATAGGGTGTTGCTCTAGCCTGGGCAGACTCCGCCCCACCTTCCTTTCCAGCTCCACACTTAGCCATCTGCCAAGGTTGTGCTTGTGGTCAAGATTTAGCATCCATCTTACTGCCACGGAGTAATGCAGAGGTCTGTGTTCTTGTATTCCTCGAGGCAGTCAAGAAAGACTGCTCCTTGGGCTTCAAGAGCCACAGAAAAAGATGATCTTATCCAATTATTGTTACTTTACAATTTCAGAAACTGAGGCCTGCAAGACGACTCGAAATGCCTCTTAGAACCCAAAATGCCTGGGGAATGAAGTTCTCTGAGACTTTTCCTGCAGTCTGACTCTTTGAAGTTCCCTAGGTGTCAAATCTCAGGCAGCAATTTCTTTGTTCACATCATATTTTAATTTTTATGCTATAATAAATCCTATTTTTTCTGTAGTCAGGCTACAGAGAAGATACACAGCAGCCTTTGCTAGAGAAACTTTTCTAGTGCTACTTCAGACTCCCTGCTTACTATTCATAATTGTATATAGTTGTTATATTTTATTCTTTTTCTTATTACTACTGTCAAACTCTGTCTTTCAAAGCAACCACTAACATAACAAAGAGTTAAAGCTAATAAACCAACAACAGAAATACAATAGAATAAAATTTATTCCTTTTGAAAGAAGGCAGAAAATAGTAATCTTTATTTAACAATGTCGTTAATATTAAGGGCTGCTTGTTATGTGCTTGCTGTGCTGACGGCAGATAGTGTATGTCTACACTGTGCGCTATGCTGAGGATTTTATGCATCTAGGCACATTTAATTCTCTCAGTGACCCTGTGATATAGATATTATTTCATCTGCTTTACAGAGGAGGCAACTAAAGCTTAATAGGTGGTCAAGAATCTCTTCTAAGCTTATGGCACAGGTAGTCCGTTGGGTAACAAGTTCAATTCCAGATCTACTGAACTTTAGACCCTCACCATTTCCTTTTGCAGGTGAAATTTGAATTTACTCAATGTATTAGAGCAATTTTATGTACTAAGCAGAAGCCTGATCCACACACAGATTTGATTCTAGTTTTGATTCTGTTACATTGGGGCCAAAATAAAACTTAAAGATGTCTTAAGATGGTGGGAGAACTACAGTGATTGTACCTGAGTGAATCCTCTATTGTCTGACACTAACAAGGATGTAAACCAGTGGTACTTCAATTAAAAATAAATAAATAAACAAACTTTAAAAGTGTCTTAAGAACATTCAGTTCTGGACTAAGTAAAAAGGATGTCATAAATATTTGAGTCATTTGCAGAGCTTAGGAGCTAAAATTTGAGACACAATGGAGTCCCTTATTCAAAGGTCTGATATAAAGAGGTTTCCAGGACCGTCGTGACTATGAGTTTTCAGATGCAGTCCAGCTGAATATTTGACAGCTGAGTCCCTATGCACTGGACATTCAATATTGGGCATTTTAAATAAACAGTAGTGAAAATAGATAACCCAGCGACTCCCTGTAAACCCCATGTGCCTAGCTCTGCACTAAGTCTCATTCTCCACATGCTGAATCTTAATAATTGCATGAAATGGGACTTTTCTTTTTTTCATTTTTATGAAGAAACCAAGACTTGACTAAGAAACCAAGACTTGACTAAGGTGACTGAGTTCTTGCATGGTTAAAAAAAAAAATGAATCCATGAAAATCATATATATTATTTATTTGATTAATTCATTTGCAATAGTTATCATGTCTAATTACACAGAGACCATGGGTTGACAAGGATAAAAATGTCTTGGAAGGCAAAATTTAAAGGAATGATCTAAAAAATGTTTTACAGCAGATCTATAGGTTTATATTGCTTTTCACATGCCATGTCAGGAAGATCACTCTTGGGGAATCATAAGCCCAGGGTGCATGAATAAGCTTTACTTTGAATTCTGGTGTGAAAGACCTTTTCTCTGTTAGAAGCTGGGCTGGCCTTGTATGATGTCCCTCAGCAGACAGGACAGTTTCCAAGGCTGATCTCATTGTCTGGAGCTTTCTCACCTGCAGTGAAGGAGAATTAATTGGACCCTTTCGTGGCATTCAGATTCCGTCATATTTATGCAGTCCTATTTAAGTCACAGGCATCAAACATGGCAGCTTATAAGCATGTTATTTTACTTAACCAGGCTCCTGGCATAGTTCCCGCTGTACATAGGTGGGCTGTCCAAAGCATGGAAAGAAATAATGGCATCTTCACAGCGTCTCTGAGAAATGGTTCCTAAATGTCTGCAGATGTGTAAACTGAGGTCTGGAGATTGCTCCAGAGCCATGTCATCACCTAGGAAAGGGAGCCTGGTGTCAGATGCAGAAAATGCCAAGGACCGTGCCCTTTCTACTACATCTGCAACCAGTTTTGGAGAAAACCTCAAGGGAAAAAACAGCAAATTTTTAGAGTTCTGGTAATTTCTTGTATCTAGGACTGGCTGGTTAATCAATAAATGAAGAGAAATGAATATAGTGCCTGTCATTCATTACATTTCTCTTGCTTGCAGTTCCCAAAGTGGCTGGGACCCATCGGAAACTGAGGTGACGGCCAGCACCGTCAGCTGCCTTCCCTGCTTCTTGGTGCAGAAGCCGAGCGAACTGTTTGAAAACGTCTCATTCACACCCCAGGTTGCTGTTGAGGTCTTTTTCATGTTATGATCAGAGCAGTTGCTTGTTTTTATCACTAGGCTGATTTTAGAGATAAAGTCAGCCTCTGTTTCTTCACTGGGTGGAGTTGTGGGTGCAGGGCCGGGGTGTGACAGATCCAAGCTTCCCTTGCATGGAAAAGTGGGTTTGACAAGTAGGACTGGGCTGCTACTGTGAGGTGGGCCCCTGATTAACCAGTCTGCCAATGAGGAAGCTCCGCGTCATCAAAAGAAGGAAAAAAGAAAGACTCATTTTCCTCTTTTCTTTTTCTGTTTCAGCTGAAGACACCACATTCAAAGCAGAACGTGCCTCTTCCTTGGATAGACAGGGAGAAGCGTTGTTCTGCAGATAACCCTCCGAGGTGCTGAGAACACAACCCTCTGGGTTTTCTTTGCTTGTGTTGGATGGCGTTTGCTTCAGCAGCTCACTGACGGCTCTTTCCTTGGAATTCTGAACTCAAAATTCGGAATCTAGACTGGGAACATGATGAGTTCCATCAAGTGTGTGTTGGTAGGAGATTCTGCTGTAGGGAAAACCTCTCTGCTAGTGCGCTTCACCTCAGAAACTTTCCCGGAGGCTTATAAGCCCACAGTGTATGAGAACACCGGTGTGGATGTCTTCATGGATGGCATCCAGATCAGCCTGGGCCTCTGGGACACAGCTGGCAATGACGCCTTCAGGAGCATCCGCCCACTATCCTATCAGCAGGCAGATGTGGTGCTGATGTGCTACTCTGTGGCCAACCATAACTCTTTCCTGAACCTGAAGAACAAGTGGATCGGTGAGGTCAGGAGCAACCTGCCATGTACCCCCGTTCTGGTGGTGGCCACCCAGACTGACCAGCGGGAGATGGGCCCCCACAGGGCCTCCTGTGTCAGTGCCATAGAAGGGAAGAGACTGGCCCAGGATGTGAGAGCAAAGGGCTACCTGGAGTGCTCAGCCCTAAGCAACCGGGGGGTACAGCAGGTGTTTGAGTGTGCCGTCCGCACCGCTGTCAACCAAGCCAGGAGACGCAACAGGAGGAGGTTCTTCTCCATGAATGAGTGCACGATCTTCTAAACCTCAAAAGACTTTGCCCACCAAAATCTTCTAAACCTCAAAAGACTCACCCCAGAGTCTGTTGAGGACAGGGAGAGCAATTGAGCCAGCAAGGGTAGAATCAGCAGAATTGTCCTTTTGGATACAGTTGCTGATGGAACTTGTCCACTGGATGTTTTTACTAAGTATACCTCTACCAATGAATCTTTCGCCCAGTCCAATTAGAAGATCTTTTGGGAAGCTGTCATGAGTAGCCCATCTTTGATTAAAAAAACTAAAATAGTTTCAATAATTTTGGACAATGAAGTGAGTTACCCAAAGAGTTCCATATTTAAAGATACGTTTTATTTAAGCAGTAACAAAATGTATAGCTTTTGTACATAATTATTTTTCACACTTGCAGTCTTTTCTTGCGTATTCACTAACACATACTGCTGTATGAGTGAAATAGTCTTTTTTATTGTGCCATAAATTAATTGAGTTATTTTCACCCAAAGTAGTCATTTTGTTGACATTACTTGCCTACTACATTTTACTAGGTAGTCAAATTTAAAATGACCATAAACCGATCTTTGCAATGAATTTTTCACCCACTTGTTATTTGGAGTTGTATATGAAATACGGTACAATGACATAAGATACTTTAATATTGCCTGATGATTTTTAAACAGTTAGCACTATATTTCCCTGTAATTATTTAAAAAAATCTTTTCATATTACAATCTAGCCTTTGATCCCAAGAACTACAATTATGTACTACCCTCTCATTTACTGAACAAGGTTGGAGGGAAAGCTTTCAGCCAGAGAATCAGACTCCTCCAAGGTCTAACATCAGAGCCTGGAAGAGAAGCAAGAAATTCTCACTTTTATTTCAGAAACTACTGTATTTTGCCTGCTTCTCCCCACCAGTGTTTCCTGTCAGGTTGGTGGTCTCACGAACGAGAGCAGGCTTGAAGTTCTGTCTGCATTTGTCCTCATTTGAACTCTAATCTGAGTTGGCAAGGCAACATAATTTATTAATTTTAGGATCTAATCAGAATAATTGGGAAGCTGTCTACATATGCATGTGTATATGGGGGAAAGTTCATTAATAACTTTTACATGAATATGAAGCACTTGAAAGAAAAAGAAGGCACAAGCACAAGCACAAGGAACAGGATAATTGTATAGCAAATGCTCAGATCACAGCAAAGTTTTCAGGGACAACACTGAATAAGTAGAGACACACTTACCCTTCCTAAACCCCAGTCTATCTAAGACCTTAACATTGAAAAACTGTTAAAGCTGAGAACAGAGGACTATGTAAATTGAGGAAGAGATTGCAAAGGCAGGCACCTGGGTATAGAACTTACTTACCTAATCAAATAAAACTTGTTACTGTTATTAAAGTATGTCATTTTTCTGACATAACATGCCCATCATATATAAATGGTAAGACAGCTGGCATTCATGACACTGATTAGATTAAGTTGATATAACCAAACCTATTTTGCAAGTTTCCTAAAGTGGTCACTTCTTTTGTGCTGCAATCAGGGGCCAAGTAAAATTTGTGTTCCTCCCCCACACTGCTCTCTGCTGCCCTCAACCTCTCATTCACATCCAGGAAGAGGCCAGGGAGCTGGATCTTAGTCTTGGTGGCTGGGATGTCATCAGTTCCCTGGGGCTGATGTATCTGCCTCTACCCAGACATCTCCAGTCCTCCAGGCCTATGGTTTGCCCTCACCTCTGTGTCACCCATATCCCTTGACTGGAGAGCCCCTCCATCCTGCTTTCTGCCTTGGGCATTCAGAGCGTAGGAGGTATTGAGAGCTGGTCACATGGGAGGCAACGGGAGCTCATCTCTCTCTAGCCCTTTGCTCCTCAGCCTCTCCTCCGGCATGTGAACAGTCTTAACTAAGTCATGCGGATTTTCCTTTGGGGGGTGGGGGGATGTAATGTGAGCAGGAATGAATTTCTATTCACTAAAGTAGCTGGTCCCAAGTTTTTCTTTCCTGCTGAAGGGAGGCGTGTGGTGTGTGAAAACAGAAGGACTCAGGTACCTTATCTAAGTGAGCAAAGGAGGAGAGGAATCCTTGGGCAAAGGAATGGAGGGATTGAAGACAGAGAGAGCGCATTGCACAGCTTTGTCTTCACCTCAGCAAATACACAGACGAGCCCTCTGCTGTTAAAATCTCCCTCTGGGAACCCTCACACCGGGAAACAGGAATCCAGGTGGAAACACTCCCCTGTGGTGGGACCTGGCAGAGGTTGAGGCCAGTTGGGGGTCTGCCTTTCTTAAGGGACCATGAATTCTTAAAGGAGAGAGCAAAAAAGAAATTGGGTTGCCGTGCCACAAAGTTGAGACGGAAGGAGCCAGAACTCTGCCAGTCTTGCAGGGGTAAGAAATAAAAATAGGTCATTTTGTTGGAATCCATGTTATGCCTGTCCTATGTGAGCGCATATTAATTTTCGCCTGCCTGAACTCAGGTCTATGTTTCTCACGTTTCAAAATGTGTACGCCTTTGTAGACTACTGTATGTCAGCGTGGACCTATTCCAAAAAGCAACATTAAATATGCTCTTGTTTACATTTAAGAGTTGTTTTGAGTGGTTTAGTAACTCACCCTATACTGTTTTATCTTATACTCTCAAAATGGGGCAGCAGAATCTAGTGTGAGATCGAGTGACTGAAAGCTGAGAGCATCCTCACGGTACAAGTTCGTTAACTGGGGATGTGCCATGGGCAGGATGCCGAGTGCTGGCGTGTGCATTATCTCACCCCACGGTCTGCAGGTGGCCACACAACGAGGGGCACCATCTCACACGAGGAAACTGAGCCTCGGCATGTTGACGTGACAAGTCCAAGGCCATAGAGCAGGTGAGTGGCAACACCAGGACTCTTGAGCAGGCCTGTCTGACTCCAAAGCTCTGCTCGAAACCACTGTGCCCCACTTCCTCCCAGAGCAACTGACTGTAGGGCTTTGCCACATCCGAGCTCATGTAGCCTCGAAGGCCTCTCCGCCCTGTCCCCCAGCAAGTGGCCTGTGTTTAGAAATTGTTTCAAATAAAGTATTTCAGGTCTGATCGTAGATCTCCCCTTTCATTTTCCTTTGTGGCAGTGAGGATGGGGCTCCCCTAAGTCACAGAACACCATCCTTTGCTAGGGTCTCTGCTCCAACTCTTAGCTGTTAAGTATAATTTCGCAGTTGATTGCATGTGAATTGGCAGAGATGAAATACGTCATGGTTTAATGCTTTAAAAAGCTTGGAAAATATTCTCTTTTCCTTATCCCATTTCTTTATCCAGCCACTTTCAGGCATTACCTTTGAGTGAGGTAGCAACAGGGGAATGGATATGCTAGTGCTTTCCTTTTAAGGATTTGGTATCCAAAGAAGGCACTTCAGCCAGCATGGGACAGATGAAAATGTTCTAGTCTTGCACTTCTGTAAGGTTTGATGTGACAGAGGGAACCAGGCATTCTGTGAGTGTATGTCTACAGTTGTGACATATTATGACCTAGAAAGTCTAGGTCATTTGTCTTTTTCAGCCTCAGTTTCTCTAAAAACAGAGACAAGTTCCTGGTTATTCTAAGTGGTTGTAAAACAATGTTGGTGGAAGTGCTTTGTATCTGTAAACTATTGTTCAAATCGTGGTGTCATGTTTTTGGTGGGTCCCTATGAAGAGAGGCTGAATATTTTAGATCCAATTAGAATAGAACTTAGGGGAGAACTTGTCAATAGGGAGTCACATGGTCAGAAACCTACATTTGTAGGTGGCATTTGTAGCAATGTTAAATAGATGAGTAAAATGAATAAAGTGACAGATACATTGGTGACAAACTACACTTGAATGCTGACTGGTTCTAGTTTCTCTGTAAGCATTTGCCATACGTTGTCTGATTTAATTCTCATAACATGCTCATAGGACATTATTCTCTTCTGTTCTGACAGATAATGGAGATACGTCCCTTGCACAGTTACTTTTTAAAATGTTCCAGGTTTACCATGTGATTTTGGTGTAAATTTGACCAGCTGAAAAGTATATGATGCTTTATGGTTAATGTTTATTATACTGCTAACTTAGATAAAATCTGACACACTGTTGGGGCACAATGATAATTAGTGCTTGGCGGCCTTCCTAAGTGAGCTGATTTTTGTCATCCTTCCTGTAAAGAAGTGTCAGGTGGCTCAAATCCCACCTGTCCTGGCTGAGCTCTGCCTGCTGTCCCATGCCTCCATTTCCATTTTCTACCCTTTGCTCCTCTGCTCAGTACTCAGGAGGCCAACCCTCCAGATAGCATCACCCAGGTGCCTGGCTCTACGTGACTGTGACCCATGGGAGGCCCAGGCTGGCAGTCAGGATAGAAGAAGGATAGAAAACTGGATGTTTGTTCCCTGCTCCTTTCCTACTTTGGCGTTGCTTATCTGTCCATGGCAGTGAGTCCCTCCATGGCTACCATTCCCACAGGGTCCCAGCATTTCCTCTTTGCACCTCAGTCCTAAAGGAGGTAATGGTCTCCCTCTGATGTTCCCCCCCTCATGCCCTTTCTTCCCCATCTTGTGTTCCCTTAACACAGACCTTTACAATTAGCACCTTAATCAAAGTCTCTTCATCTGAACCATCTGGAATAAATTTGATTTCCTACAGGAACCTGACTGATACACTCAAAGTATTAAAAGTCATCAATATGCTCTGGCAATAATTACTCAAACCTGTGCTGAGGGGTCTAGGCTTGGCAGCCTGGGAAACTGCCTGTCCTGAGCCTCAAGATCCAGAAAATATCACGCTTGGCATCTCTTTGCTTGGAACGGCAAGGAGGAGTATGTTGATTAATCCTAATCTGAATAAGAAAAGAATAGTTCTGGATAGCATGTTCAAAAATTGTGGGTGTTCTTATGACAGATTTATATTTATAAGAAGCTCTGCTACTATCCAAAGAACTACTGTGGATCAATAAGAAAAATAGCTCTATTTTATTTATTTATTTATTTTTAAAGATTTATATATTTATGTATACTAGAACCGGGGTACAGGCCAGAGATGTGGGGGGTGAGAGGATTCACCAGAGACAGAGTGGGGAGCAGAACAGGCAGATTGACTGAAATACACTGCTGAGGGGAGCAGTGGGCAAGTCACGAGAGTCTGCTGTGCCGTGTGGGTATCTCCCTGGCTGGGGATTGAACACATGCTGCAGTGGCTGTGGATAGCTTCAAAGGTTGCGTCTTAACCCCTTGCACCACCAGGGAGGCCCAGAATAGCTCTGTTTTAAAATGGACGTTTCTCAGAAGGGGAAATATGCATGGCCAAGAAACAATAGAAAAGGTGTTCATCTCACTAGTAGTCAGGGAGATGCAAACAAAACTTACCATAACATATCATTTCTGAATGACCATATTGGTGAAAGAATTAACAAGTATGATAACGGCAAGCACTGACAAGAATGTGAAGCAATAAGAAATTTTATATGCTGCTCATGGAGATTAAGGTAGCATATATTTTGACATTACTAAGTAATGCTGAATATCTTATACCCTTGATCCCCAAGTTTTATGCCCTTGACCTCCAAGTTTTATGTCCTCGATATTCCCCTGCATAGATTTCCTAGGAGATATGTATGAGAATATTTGTTTCAGCATTGTTGGTAATAGCAAAACTACAAACAACCCAATATCACCTACAGAGAATGGCTAAATAAATTTTGACATATTCATGCATGGACTACTATGTAGCAGTAAAAATGTATGTATGTATGTACCTATACATATTAATGTTAATGTTGACAAAAAAGCTAATAACAAAATAATATATAGTGTATGATTCTCTTTGTTAAGCAAAGCTTAATAGTCAAAAAATTATAAAGCGTTAGAATTTTAATATGACATTTGAATGAGCAGTTACTTTTTCTTTTTTTTTTTTTTTTAATAGAGGCATGTTTTTCTTTATTTATTTGTTTGCTTGTTTGTTTGTTTTGTTTATACATGCACTGGGTACAGTCAGAAGCGCGGGAGGGTGAGAGAATTCACCAGAGCCAGAGCGGGGAGCAGAGCAGGCAGAAGGACCGAAGTACACTGCTGAGGGGAGCAGCGGGCGACAGGAAAGGTCTGCGCGCCATGTGGGACCCTCCTCCGGTGGCCGGGGAGCAGCCGGGGATTGAACCGGTGCCGCAGAGGCCGCGGGCAGCTTCGCAACCCAGCGCTCTACCGCTGCGCCACCGGGGAGGCCCTACTTTTTCTTTTTTAAGATTTATTTCTTTATTTATACAAGCACTGGGTACAGTCAGAAGTGCGGGAGGGTGAGAGAATTTACCAGAGCCAGAGCGGGGAGCAGAGCAGGCAGAAGGACCGAAGCACACTGCTGAGGGGAGCAGTGGGTGGCAGGAAAGGTCTGCGCGCCATGCAGGACCCTCGGCGGCCGGGGATCGAACCGGCACTGCAGAGGCTGTGGGCAGCTTCACAACCCAGCGCTCAATCGCTGCGCCACCGGGGAGGCCCAGCAGTTACTTTTCTGAGGCTGAAAAGGAATGAGATTGAACAGATTACCTAGGATTGTCACAGGTATTGTTAATGTTCTATTTCTCAAATTTAGAGAGTGCGTACATGAATGATCATTTAATTTTTCCTGTTATTTATTTTTCAAATACATTTCTATGT